ATGCGCCTTGTTTATGGCGTCCTGTTTCCTTTCTTTTTTAATTCTTGCTCGTTCCCATTTTTCATTCATCCATCATTCTTTCTTTCTTTCTTTTTAAATCTCTCTTTTCATTCTCTTCTCTGTTATAAGTCGCTATTCTCCCTCTTTCCTTATTCTTTCTTTCTTTCTTTCTCATTTACAATCTTCTTTTCATTCTCTTATCTGATTCTTATACTTCGCTCTTGTTTCCATTTTTTATTTTTTCTTCCTGTCTTTCTTTCTTTCTTTCTTTTTTCTTTCTTTTTTCTTTCTTCCTGTCATTCTTTCTAATTTAAACCTCTCTTGTTTCATTCTCTTCTCTAATTCTTATATTTCCGGTTTGTTTTCTTTCTTTCTTTCAGATTTCCTATTCACTTCCTTTTAAGAGTTTCTTTCTTTCTTTCTTTCTTTCTTTCTTTCTTTCTTTCTTTCTTTCTTTCTTTCCCATTTACACCCTCTCTTTTTCCATTCTCTTCTCTGATTTTTAAATTTCACTATTATTTCCTTTTTTTAAATTTTTCCTTCCGTGTCTCTCTGTCTTTCTTTCTTTCTTTCTTTCTTTCTTTCTTTCTTTCTTTCTTTCTTTCTTTTTTATTTACACTCTCTCTTTTTCCATTCTCTTCTCTGATTCTTAAACTTCACTATTATTTCCATTTTTTTAAAATTCTTCCTCCTGTGTCTGTCTGTCTGTCTTTCTTTTCTTTCTTTCTTTCTTTCTTTCTTTCTTTCTTATTTACTAATCTTTTTCGTTCTCTTCCCTCGTATGATTTTACTCTTCTACCTTTTTTATTCTTTATTTATTTATTTACCTTTTCGTAATTACGTTTTTTCTATCACTTTCAATTTATTCATCATTCTTCGTTTTCTTCTTTGTCTTTCCCACTTGTTATATGGACCCCGTCTCCAACGATTAAACAAAAAACAGCACTTCAAAGTCATTTTATTTCAACAACCAGTAACGACTCACAAGGCCGACTACTAATTAAACAACTGAAATTTAAATCCATATTGGGGATGTATGTAACGGTTTTGACATGGTTTTTGAAAAAGTGCAAAGACTGTAGATAATTCGATGTAAATTTAACCAGAAAGAGTAAGGCTTCAGTTACACGCGGGCGAAAACAGGCGCGCTATACCGTGTTGATTATCACTGCGGAAAAATCGAACCAGCAAGCCAAGTTTTTTTTTTTTATTTTGGCAGAGGCTGGAGATGTTCACTTCGATGAATACCTTTCAGAAAGGCATGAATCCACAAACTTGCACACTGTTCATAGCCAGATATCTTCACAAAAAATGCCACGTCTCTAACATATCACAATGTTTAATGGAGAAATCAAGTGTTGCTCTTTCCACTGATGTTTGTACATTTGTGAATTTGTTTTCAAGTGATGCAGTGAATAAAACAAGATTTAAAATTCAAATGCTAAGCACTGACTCATTGATTTTGAAGATTCGAATTTACAAACGTTGCTTAACACATACACAAATGCAAATCCAAAACAACACTCGTGAAATGTCACACCTTGATGCGAAATGTTTTTCGGCCAATAGAAAACTAGGAAACATTTAAAAACAAAATTCAAATGATCTTCAATTCTCAGAAACAAATTCTTTGACGGACCTTTTCGCGAACCGACTCTAAGTTTGTTCGTTGTTCAATGGAAAGGCCCGAATCATATCCGGGAGTGAATTCCCAAATGACCTTTTCAAGCCCCACAAACAAAATAAAAGACGAGCAAATTCGCCTGTCACGAGAGAGAGAAAGAGAAGGAGACGAGCGTATTAACACGTCTATTGACAAACGTCAAGCGATCGTTATTATTATCTCTACCTTTCTCCCTCACCTATTTTATACTTGATAAACGAACGGAACATTTTAAGACTGAGCGATTACTTCAAAGACGTTTCTACCCTTCGATAACGCTCATACATACATACTTACATACATACATACATACATATATCCACACATACGTTCCTGCCTACGTACACATAAACTCATTCTTGCAAAGACTACTACGAACATTTTGACGATCTTGTATCAACCAAAATACATTAATTTTATTTATAAAAACCTTAATTGATTTATATGTATATAAATTTGTTGTTTCACTTTACAATTTGATTTTCTTACTCCTCTTATGGTGGGCTATCTAACTTATAAGGCCAAATAAAACTTATCTGTTTCAACACTCATACACGTCACTATAACTGATAACCCACTATAGGCCAAAGGATGGATTTTATACAATGCAGATGAGCCTGTGGCTAAAAGAATGCAACAAGGAGGTGGCAATTTGATTATATGGCCTGAAATTCTCGAACAAGCCAATACTGAACCATTTAAAGTCGATGAAGAAGTTAAACTGAACAATGTTAACTATTGCGATTTCATGAACAAGATGTTCTTTGAATCGTACATGTGTCAGTCACGCAATTTGAAAGTGATGTATGTATTTAAACAAGACAATGTTCCTTCTCATGTATCTAAGTGAATTATTTGAGTTTAAAAGGTTTACAGGTGTGTTGATAATAGAATTGTCAGCATGAAATCCTGATCTGAATTCGATCGAAAATCTTTTGGTCAGTTGTGAAGATGAAATTATATGAAGGTGGCAAACAATAAGTAAAGAATTTAAAACCAAATTGTAGGAAATTGCAACTGGTGAAATAAAAAGTTTAACAAAATCAATAAATTGTTGCCTGTTATTAGAAGAAAGGTCCATATATTAAGATGTAAATGCTTCAAAGACTTATTATATATATTTGTTATTTGTTCTAAGTGTCGATCAAATGCTGATGATTTTATTGCCTTGTAATTGAAGTCAAAAATTGAATTTCTAGTTTTGTATTATAACTTCAGACTGTAGTTTTGTAACATATTGAATAATTTTAATAATACATGTTGCAACTACGTAAAAAAATAAACTGTAGTTTTTTCAAGACTAAATTAATCATTTAAAATTTGATACTAATTGTTCAATGCAAACTCTAGTTATTGAGGTTTATGTAATTTGCATAATAACTTCAGACGGACTATATATATAGATAGATATATAAAGAAGTAATGGATATTTTATTTATTCATCCGACAGATTTTATCACTTCAAACGTCATTTTTAGTGGATACTCATATGTGAGTATTTACTAAACAGTATATTTATGTATTTTCGTCTACCGGCCTGAATATTAAAGAAAAAAATATTCGCTCCCTGGTAGGATTCGAACCTGCGCCCCTTGAGCAGAGGGATTAAAATAGGTAGATAGATCGATACATAAGAAATGGAGTGCAATATATATATATATATATATCAAAGTGAACATTAAAGTCAACACTTAGATGCGACAGTCTGTTTCATGCTAGACGCAATCGTCAGGCCACACATTTATATTATATAATACACTTACACACACTTTATCCCATAATTATAGCACACCTTAAAACTATATTTCTTCATATATATATATAGAGAGATAGATAGATAGATAGATAGATAGATAGATAGATAGATGAGGAATGGACTGCAATAGATAGATATTATTGCTTACTTCTTAATACATACACGTTATAAAAGACCAAACGAAACGTCAAACAGTATTTTATAGAAATTAACTCAAGCTTTTTTTACAACTAAATTAATCATTTAAAATTTGATAATTGTTCAAAGCAAATTCTAGTTATTGATTTTTATAATGACTTCAGACGGACTAAATATATTGATATGCCCCGGAAATGGATATATTTGTTCGAAGTCGTAAAGTGGTTTTCGACTACTGTAACTGAGTAGAACAATCTAGCAGGTAACCGTAATGGACTGGTCCTCATCGTAGGGTAGGCAATAAGCGTAGGCAGTAGGCGAAAAAATAGGCGTTGTCCATGTACCTCCACATCAGTCTGTATTTATGGCTGACACCAGCCAATCATATTACTGTGAGGGGGGACCCAGGTGTATGCATATTTATTACATCATATATATATATATATATATATATATATATATATATATATATATATATGACTTCACTATAACTGATAACCCACTATACTGATTTTGTTTATTTCTATATTTTACATTGTTACGACACCCTTTGTACAAATTAATTGAAACAAAACGAATAATCCCGTTATTATTTGTTTTTTTTTTTTCGTATTTTCCCAATGAAACATGACCCAGTGCACATGTTAGTACTTTGTATGTCCATTCCACGAAGTCGTTCCTTGCAGATTGTCCACAGATTCTTGATTGGATTTAAATCAGGAGAGTTTCCGGGCTAGTTTCTAGTACTTTGATTTACTCACTGGTAAGGCTTGTCAGTGTGTTTGCGAAGCGTTACAATTTTTGTACGCTTCTTTTCAGTAACGTCCATTGCAGATAATGGCCGTAAGACAACTAATAGACAGTCGAGACAATAGTGTCTGGGCGTGATAAAAATCTGATGCAATCACAAATGACACAATATTTTTTCTGGGCCAAACAAATTTCATCATACAGCCCGAAAATAGATTCATATTATTGCACACCACTGCAAATGACCTAATCTGAGAAAAAATAAGAATCTAGTGGGTCTAAAACTGACCGTATGGTGAAAGAAAGGAAACTAAAGCGGTTATTACAATTAATTTGCAAAGGGTGTACATTGGTTGACAGCATACGTTCGTTAAACCGTTTAAATTTTCGTCATATTAGATAGAGTCTTTTGATTATATCCCTATTTTATTAAACGCTTTCTTAGTTATCGTTATAATTTTATAATTCATTTTCCACTTCATCCTTTAATGTTATCACCTGTCCGAAGTAGATGTCTATTTGGCCTTTTACAGCATTTCAATATTTATAATCATTACCCTATTCCAGCTTGGCAATACCAGCTGCTGTAAGTTTGGATGTATAATAGGTATTAGAATTCGGAGACCCGAGTTCAAATTCCAGTCGGGGTCGTCCTATTCATTTACGCGCCAATTGAATCTACACCTCTCTCACCAACCAGAGGTTAATAAGTAAATCTTGTATCGGTAAATCATTATTATATGGACAGAATTCTTACAATCTAAAAATATTTTTCTGTCTTTAAATTATCCAGAAAAAGATTGATAAGCCGTAAAGACAAACCAATCATTCTTTTTAATACTAGTATCATAGAACAGCATTCATGTTTTTACTATTTGTTTTCAAACCTACATTCAGACGTTCCCAATTCAAGTGAAGAAGCGTTTATTGTAATTTATCTGGTGATTCTGATATTAAGAAAATGTCGACAAATCAAAAGTGGTTCAAATATTTCCTGATTCTGTTTACTCCCATCTGGCTTTATTTCTTTTCTTTCTCTAGTCCTTTGAATCTTTCAAAGATTGGACATCAGTTGGAAGAAACACCCAACAAAGAAAGGCCCGTATGGACACCTTCCTCCTATTTTAGTTTCGCTAAGAGAGAGAAGGCTTCGGCTAGCTGGTCACTTTTGGAGAAGTAAGTCAGAATTTGTGAGTGACACCCTCCTATGTAACCCATTGCGCGGCAAAAGATCGGCTGGAAGACCTAATCACACCTACATTGATCAACTTGTATATGACTTTGGATGCCGTCTGGAGGACCTGGACACGGCGATGTCTGACAGAGATGATTGGAGGGAACGAGTCAGAAGAACCAGAGAAGAATTCTCGACCTGATGATGATGAGTCCTTTGGGTTTATTGGTGCTGATGGTGATTAGCATATCTAAGAATGTAACACTTTTTTAAAATTTATTAGTACTTAATAAGCTTTAAATCGGAGTACCACCTATTAATTATTACTACATTATTACTATTATTACATATATTAT